AAAAGGCGTCCCCCTTTGAGGGAGGCCAGAATGTGGCTTACCACCGGCACTGGATATGTGTGCTGTTGCAGCGCTTTATTCAATCTGCACTTATAGTCCACGCAAATTTGGACTTCTCCATTAGCCTTTAAAGGCATTACAATGGGGGTTTCCCATGGACTAGAGTCCACAGGTTCTAAGATGCCCTGCTAGAGCAGCTTGTCCAGCTCTGCATCAATTTTGCTCTTGAGAGTAAAAGGCACCCTAATCCTAATACGTGTGATAGTTGGGTCTAATTGTAGGGCAATGGGAGGCCCCTTGTAAGAGCCAAGCTCTGAGCTGAACACATCAGCAAACTTCCTGCAGACTTCTGCAAGGCCTGGCGTTTGCAGGCTATGCAGCCCAATCACTTGGATTCCAAGGGCCTCGAACCAATCGAGTCCAATGAGACTTGTGTGATCATCCCCAACTACCACCACATCTAATAGGCCTTCAAAAGCCTTACGCTGCACTTTGAGCGTAGCCTCCCGCTTCACACTGACTCTGGAATTCTGAAAGTCAGTGAGGACTAAGTTCGATGGTCTGAGTTTGACTCGAAGGCCACTACTGCTGCAAATCCTTTTGAAGGTGTCATGTGAAATGATTGATAGAGCGGACCCTGTGTCCAACTCCATTGATAAGGGAACCCCTTGCAACTTCACGTCAATATGAAGCTTTTTCTTAAGGGGCTTGTGTGTCCCTGTCCTCAGAATACTCCTGCGCAATGCACAGAAACCCACCCTGTGTTGGCTGGGGACCCTGGTACCTTTCTGAAGCAATTCTTCCCAAGGTTGGACCTTCTGATGACCCAAACAGATGGAGGCAATGTGGCCTTGCCTGCTACATGCCCGGCAAATGGCAGAGTGGAATCTGCAGTCAGCTTGTTGTGGCGTCCTCCACACCCGAAGCACTGAGGAGATGCTGGGGCCTTGTCTGGACACCCCTTCAGCCTTCTTTCTGCTGGCTGGTGAAGTCTGTCCACCTCCTCTTCAGGATCCGATTCTGGATCTTCTCAAGTGACCTCTTGATGGATGGTCACGGTGGCTGGAGGGTTTCGGGCTAGTCGCAAAGCCTTAACAGTGCCGCCTGCTGCTTCTTCAGCTGGAATCTCTCTTAAGGCATCTTGAAATGATACCTCTTCTTTTGCGAAGATCTTCTGTTGCAGTTCTCTACTTTGTAGGCCACAAACAAAACGATCTCGCAGCCTGTCTTCCAGGTCTTTGAACTCACAAGGCCTGGCCACTTGTCTTAAGGCAGCAATGAAGTCTGCAGCAGATTCACCCGGTCTCTGGTCTCTCTGTCGAACGCATGCCTCCAAGCAATTACAGACAGTTTCAGCTGGAAATGTTCTTTAAGCATCTTCTTCAAGTCAGCGTACGTTACTGACTCCAGAAGTGCAGGGGCCACCAGGTTTTCAGCAATGTCGAACATTTCCTGGCCACAGATGCACAGAAGTGTTGCCGCTTTAAGGCCGTCTTCCCTGATTTGATTAACTCTCAAGTAGTTCTCCACCCTTGCTACATATGAATTCCATTGTTCTGGGTGGGAGACATCAAAGTCCGTCAAGCGGCCAATTTTCGACATCGTAAACTTTTACTGCCTTTGCTAAGTGCCTCCTCTGTAAGCTAGTAGTTGGGGAAGGGGTCCGTTTGCCAAGCTCACCTTTAGCGATGCTGTACTGGCAGGCTGAGTTGCTAATGCAGGACGCCATCTTCCCAGTCTTCAGGACTTTCTTGGTGAGTCCTATCTGTTTCTCTTGCTTGCAGGGATCCCACCTTCATCGCCAGTTTTATGTATTCGGTTCTCAGGCATTAGACAAAGACACATGATGAACAAGCAATCTCTTTATTGATCTTCTCCTTACAACCAAACAACAGCTAAAAGGCATGCAGGCCTTTTATAGAGTCCTGAACCTGGACAGTGTCAGCCAATAGGAAGCTGGCTGTTTTTGCGCCTTGCGCATGTGCACAAGGCTGGCGACAGCCAGTCTGGTCCCGGGCAGCTTTTGGTCTGCCTGGGACCGTTTGCAACATTTCTGATCCTGCTGAATACTTCAGCAGCCTCAGGACACAACAATTATCCCTGTGTGGTCTGTAACCTGGCCGGATTATGAAAGTTCATAGCCGGTTTGGCCAGAAAAAGAATTGGCTCACATTCATGAAAACAAGAACGTCTCTTCAAAATGGAGACACTCCCCTCCAAATGTAGAAGCAGGTATTTGCTGTTTAGTGCTACTTGGCAAGTGGTATTCTAACCTCTAAAACTGTTGGTTGCATGCAGCCATCATGATGAATAGTCACTGATCAACCATGAATTTGTCTCATTTTCTTTTAAATCCTTGTGGCAGAAAACACAGTAAAGCTTTACAGAAGAAGCTTTAGATAATGAGGTTTGTCAAAGTTAAGCTTGAATTTGCAGCCAATTTGTTATAGTAGATAAGGCATCAGGCTATAAACCAGGAGACCATGAGTTCTAGTCCCACCTTAGACACAAAGCTAGCTCGATGACCTTGGGACAATTAGTCTCTCTCAGGCCTAGGAAGGAGGCAATGACAAACCACTCCCAAAAAGCCTTTCCAAGAAAACTTCAGGGACTTGTTGCAGCAGTTGCCAGGAGTCAAAAACTTCTCAAAGGCATGCACACCCACATATATTCACACAGATTTTATGGGATTTATGCGAAAATATCAATAGCTTCAAGATAATATGTCTGAGTTATTGACCTGCAAAGATATTGCTAGAAACCATTCACTAAGGCTTTAAGTGTGAACATTTTAACAAAACCTACAAAGTTTCTACTAATTTACAAGTTATTCCAGTTAGTTTCATGTATATAATTAATTGAGAGCTGGAAACAGTTATGCTGACAACAAAGTCAGAAACTCTAGGTCACAATGCAACTGAAAACACATTCAGTATAAATAGAATTATTGCAGTCGTATTCAATTGCACAATGTTGAACTCTCTGGCATGCAATAGATTAACTTCAGTCTTAGAGGTTATATTTACACCTACTTGATACTACAAGGACATTGTCAGCAGCAAAAGAAAAATATAGTCAGTTGATCCCATAAAATTAGAGATGAAGTATCCCATAAGTAAGCACTAATCCTGAATTAACTCTTCCTTTTTGTTTAAATTGTCATTGTAAATTCCAGTAGCAAAATATTTGCACAGATGATTCAAATATGAATAATTATTTAAATATATTTATCTCAATAAAATGTCTGACATTCATTAATTCTCTTCTATAAATGTGTACATTTTAATGGATATTTTATAATACAGAAAACTGTATCACTTAAGATGTTGGCAATTTTAACAGTTCCAATTTTTTTGTAAGAGATAGGTTTTACTTTAATTTCAGTGGGTCATAAACGAAATACTGGATATTTCTATACATATTCTAGGAAACATTTCAGTAAATATAAATTATTGTAAAGGATATTGTCAACCCTATCGGTCTATCCCTCCCCCCCCTTTCTTTCTTTCTTTCTTTCTTTCTTTCTTTCTATCTTTCTTTCTTTCTTTCTTTCTTTCTCTCTCTATCTATCATCTCTTTTCTTCTAGCTAGATAAAGCATAAATAACTATGCTTTTACCAAAAAATAGTTTTATAGAAAAAATGATATTGTTTACTCATGAATCTCTCTCCATTAAGAGAACCAAATGTAATTCTTCCTTTCATTTCTATGTAAGCTTTTTTTAATTTTTATTATTTTATTTTCATTACAATCATAAGAAAAAAAATTCAGATACATAAGAAGTTAAAATACAACACACAAATTCCGACATTGCTCACCCATTTCTCCCCAGACCGCGTCCCCCTCTCATCTCTTCACTTCCCCCTTCCTTCTACCTCCTCCTCTCCTCCCCTCCCTCTCTCCTCCATCTTTCTACTTACTTATCCCTCTCCTCTTCTTCTCAATCGGATGCGGTCTGGGGGAAAATGCCTGAGCAATCCTCTATCACCAAAATCTGAACTATTGAACATACTACCCATACTCTCCCCTCCCCCTCCCCCCTCCCCCTCCCCCCACCCGACTTCCCAGAGCTCAGTACAGGGGTACAAAAAAAAGAAAAGAAAAAAAAAGAAAACTAAACATAGTCAACTTAAATTTACTACTTATACAATAACCAGAATCCTAATAACCCTTAACTCTCTGCAAACTTCAATTCATAATTTAATAAAAATCCATTATTCATAAAATAAATGAAACTTTGTTGTTCCATACTTCTTCTGAATATATTCTATCCATCTTCTCCATACTGAAACATATCTCTTTTGTGAATGGTCCTTTAAATAAGCAGAAACTTTAGCCATTTCTGCTAAGTTAGAAACCTTGAATACCCATTCTTCTAAAGAAGGCAGAGAATCTTTTTTCCAATACTGACCCATCTTCTATGTAAGCTTTAAATTTGAAATTTTCATTAAAAGATGTTATTTACAGCCTTGCTAATGTAAATTAGAGGGGAGGGAAAAAATGAAACATAGCACATCCAATCTGTTGTAGGCTAAATGATAGCTCACTCACTTAGTAACACCATAATGCCTTCATAGTGTGCAGCAGCTAAAACAATAGAATTGTTAACTGTTCAGCAGTAACTAATCAAGTGTTTTTATTCATATCCCAAGAATGTTTGGAACAGACAAAAAGCAATGACTGAACCGGGAAATGAGAATTTTGATACCTCAGAAGAAAGAAACCTTGAATTATTTCAGATTCAGATAAAAGCTATGAATATTCCTCCGCTGTATGATAACCTTCCAAGCATGTTTATGTTTTTAGTCAAACTGGAGTCATTATCAAATACATCTAATAAACAGTGATTCAGTTGGGTGTCCATTTGATGTCAAGACCAGGTCAATAAAATATTTTCCCCCCAAATTTTCAAAGATTAAACAAGGTCACTTGCTCAGCACAATTAAGGTGAATGGCAGTTTGAGATAATTAGTATCAATGCTAAAAAGTGGCATACTTACTCTCTATCGATGACAAGACACGTCACGGGCTCCGCACTAATAACATTAGCCGTTCTGACATCTTCCCTGAAAGGACAACACACAAAATGGCCAGGTAATTATCTCTGCAGTACTATACAACATTAGGACACAAATGCATCTTGCAAATGAGAATTATCTTTACTGATATATCATACTTTAAACCATTAACAAATAATGCTATTTTAATCTTCTTACTCTTGGGAAATGTTTACAAAACATTATCGACACAATAGTCATTTCCCCAGTAGAAACATTGCCCCAGCATTTTAATGCTTTTTCATAAGATCATTTTATTCATCCTTTTCTCACTTGACAATTCATTTAGCAGAAGCAGACCATTCATATATTAATACGTGTCACAGAAGAAGTGTGGATATTTTAGTATAGTGATGTCAACATAATCTATCATTTCTATAAATAGAGAAAAGCAAAGCAAATAATTAATGAATCAAGCTACATTAGATGGGAGAAGACTAATTAATGTGGACCTGCTCTGTTCAGAAGATGGGTGTGTGCAGAAAATAATAAATAGGTCCTAATGTGTTCTCTAGTTTTGGTTTTTCCTCATGCATCCCCACATAAGTTTCAGTTTGGTATGAATTCCAATTATATAAAGAAAATAAATCTTCAAGTATGTACTGTACTGTACAGGATGGACAAAACTTTCTGCAAGAAGTTGTTTTAAAATTTTAATTTTTCACCAAATTATGTAGCTTTGAAGACACCAACTTTTTATGATTCTTTGAATACACAAATAAGCATGTTGCAAAGAAAAATGTAGTAACTATCAGAACCATTCCTATTTCATTTCTACCTATCCCCTCTGACCTAAAAACAAATCTCACCTTCCCCTAGGTTCTGCCATACTGGGTCAATCCCCTCTCCCCCTTGGGAGTATGGCAGAACCCAGGGGAAGGTCAATCCCCCCTCCCCCTTGGGAGTGTAGCAGAACCCAGGGGAAGGTGAGATTTGTTTTTAGGTCAGAAGAGATAGGTAGAAATGAAATAGGAATGGAATCTGACAGTAACTTTTTAATTTACCTAATTTAGTGCCATATAGGGCCATGGGTTTTGTTACATAATCAAAATAATAAATGATTGTAGCTTAGTGTTTTCTTTTGAAGTGAGTCCTGTTGCCCAGAAAATTAGTCAGAACATGTGCTAGAATGCATTCTAGAAGAGAAAGAAGGTAATAGAGGAAAATCTTATAACTTTCCATTTTCTAACTGGGTTTTGAGTTTTGCACAGAACAATAAATGTCTGTTCAGGAAAAGAAAAAGAAATATAAAATAGACAAAAAAAACATGAAAAAGTCATGGGCAGCTGGCTTCCAATAATGCAACAATCTTTGGAAATCCATATTTGCCATCATATTTGAAAAAAAATCAATTATTTAAATCTTAATATATATGGACATATAGAGACTTATCCCTTTTAAAAGTGCCTACATTATTCAGGTAACACTATCACAATATTCCTATTATGCTGTTCAAGGATTATTTGTAGTGTTTATCAGGAAACTATATGCTATTCACGGAATATTTGCAATGTTTATCAGGAAGCTATTGTTTTATATAGAAATATTGTTCAACCAACAGAGGATTCTTTACTTTTTCCCTTGAACAAATCATTTAACATTATGTGGAAATATACAATTTGTTATGGAATTATATATCAAAATGCAGTATCACTCCTATTGGCATAACAATGATTTTTAAGAATATATGCTAATAAATATACCATCAGTACATACCACACACAATTCCAGATCTGATCAAATCACTCCTTACCATAGAAAACCATGTATGGTTTTTAACTTGTTTAGTTATGCCTCTCAAGATTAATACCAGTAGGTTAAGATGTGATAAATTATATAAAATGTAAGCATGCAGTCAGTCTTTTTATTAGATTAATCCAAATATTTGTTATAATGCAGCCCTTCAGAAAGATCCAGTGCTACAGCCTAGCTTAAAAGCACTATGAAAATGCAATTTGGCAATTACTAACTCTGAATTTTTTTCAGTTTCAAGATTGTATTCTTCATCACTACTTCCGGAGAGGTAAAATCCTTTCTCAGAATCGCTGTCACTATCTGAATAACCCATGACGATGAGGTCAGATCTACCATTTTTCTCCTGGAAAGAAACTGCTGTTTCCTTCTGTCCACAGACTCTTCCCTATGTAGTATACTTGCTCTGGAATTTTACAGACCTTTCCATTTAAAATCTCTAGGCTTGGAAAAGGTCACAGCTGCTCTGGAGGTCTCTCCTATGTATCACTGGAAAATGAAAGCAAAGCATCTTGTAAGCCCCATGGAAGCACTAGTATCAGCTGACAACAACAAATCTTTCATATGTGCATCTACTTTATTTGTTTATTTCTTTTATTTAAACTAACCCTTGCCAATCTGCAAGAAGATTCAAACAAATCTGCCTACCATTTTTTGTTATGTTCCTCTCTAGCTCAGCAATTTCCTAGTTCCTTAGAAAAATGACATAATGTTCTTCATTATGAAACTGAAATTGTTTGATATGATCGAAAGAATGCTTAAGCTTAAAAAAAAGGCAGAATTGGTTAATGATTCATTCAAACTGTTGGAAAATGCTTCAATGTAATTAGATCATTTTAACATTTGGCAACTGAAATATACCAAGCAATAAATAAACTGGATTACTACTACTAATAATAATAATGTCTGATTTTGCATTTACCATAATCACTAAAAGGAATGTTTATTTTCCTCCAATAATAAGTGATCTTTGAAGTGAGGGGATGTTCTTGCATTTCCTGAAAAGATTAGGATGAGTTTTTCAAAACAAATCGTTTTCATTTTTGTTAGCGGGTCAATTAATTTTATAAATATTATGCATTAGTTTATAGGGATATCTTGATAGTTTGCATTGCTTATATGTCATATGTGATAAGGTGGGACAACAGTCTCCAAGATACATGTATCTTTAGATAAGCAATCCTATCTTACTCAAATAACGTGACCATGGTAAAACTGAGCTTTGGTGACACTAGGCATTCACTTAACAACTGTGGCAAGAAAGGTTGTAAAATGGGACAAAATTCACTTAACAACTGTCTCAATTAGCAAGAGAAATTTTGGGATCAATTGTGGTTGTAAGTCGAGGATTACCTGTATTAAAAAGCTAAACTATAGCCATTTTAGAAGAAAAGTTGGTGCTTTGCTATTATATAGAAGCAAGAGAGAAATGTACATTAGATTAGAAAGGAATCTAAGGGCAAATGTTATGCTCATAGTAACAGAGATAAACACGTCAATTAGTAAGTGAGAAATTAGGCTAGGAAAGTAAAACTTGTAAAATCTAAAGCTAGATCTGTTGTTTACACCTGCCTGTAAAAGGCTTTTGCTTTGTGTGCTAAATCAAACTTTTGAACTCTGAATTATGGCATCTGGCATTTTGACCAAAACATGGAAAGAACTAAGGGAATAAATTCTTCTAACAGTCTCAGAACACTGAGATAATGTCTTATTAATGTTAACTTCTATATCCAATATCTTCTAACACTAACTCCAGGAAAATATGAATCAGGAATATATTTTGCTTCCTAAATCCTACTAAAATAAAACAAGAGGTTTTAGTTAAATGCATGTGTTTGTGTCTGTGCCATGTCTCTATCTCTTGGGTAACCCTGCTGAGAATATATAATAGTACTTAGACTTATATACTGCTTCACAGTGCATTTACAGCCCTCTCTAAGCAGTTTACAGAGTCAGCATATTGCCCCCAACAATCTGGGTCATCATTTTACTGACCTTGGAAGGATGGAAGGTTGAGTCAACCTTGAGCTGGTCAGGATCGAACTCCTAACTATAGGCAGAGTTAGCCTGCAACACTGCATTCTAACCACTGCCCCACCATGGCTAACATTCTTCACTCTTCCCCCCTGTCAAAATGAAGCAGTACAGAAGGATGTGTGTGCATGTGTATGTTGTGTGCATATGTTGTGTGTGTGTGTCTCTGTATGTGTGAATAACAAACTTGAAGAGAAAAAAGAATGTAGGAATTTTATGAGAAATAGAGAATTTAGTAAAAAAAACCTTTTATAATACAGAATATTGATATACTATTCACTCTTACGACTACACAGCTATGAAAGACACTACAACAATGAAGAAATAGAATAATGAAGAACACCGTCTGAAATTATATTGTAATGGAAGTTGTAAACTTTATAAGCCAAGGTTTTCATTGCTGAGTACCATAAGGTACCATGGAAGGAAAGAGTGAAGGAAAAAAAAGTTTTATATTTGCTGTACTAACATATATAATTTATGACACCATATGCCATGTTTTCTAACATTTTTATTGTCACTGAAGCCCTGCTAAGTGTAGCTCTTCAAATGAGCTCCTGATTAAGACAGTAAAGCCACAGTCTTCTGTCGTACACAATCTGTGCAAAGCAGGTGGCTATCCCTGAACTGACAATATTAATTGTTTTATCCACCAAATCAGATTCAAATTATACAGTCAGTAGGAGAAAATTATGACAGTGATATGTAATTCATAACCATCAGCCAGCCATCAAGATCACAAGCTTTTAAAATATCTCCTTTATCATGATTTAGTCATGCGATTCTTTGTGATCCCTTTTTTAGCATCTCTCTGCTGTCAGATATTTTACTTTGCTGAATAACATCACAGAAACTGTAGTGCCAAACTGTATTTATTTTTCTTTTACATGTGTTAAACAGGAACACATTATCTTGTGCCTGATATATATGCTAGACAAAATAAATCAGACATCTCTTCCACACTAAACTTCAACTTTCCTATCTCTATCCCTAATTTTGTCACTGTGGCAAAAACTGGGTTGAAAGCACATCTTGCCCCAAAGAATCCATTCTCTGCCTTTAGATTATATTTGTTATACAGTATGTTACTTTTTATACTGGGGGTGTGATGGCTATTGCTTAAAGACTCTGAGCTTGTCAGCTGGAAAGCTGACAGGCTGGGACCAAATGCTGCATAACAGAGCTCCCATTTTTGCCCCAACTTCTGCCAACCTAGCAGTTTG